AATTTTTAATAGTAATAATCTTTTAATAATAATAATCTTTTATTAATAGTAATTATTATTATCTTTTAATAATAATTATCTTTTAATAGTAATAATCTTTTAATAATAATAATTTTTTAATAATAGTAATCTTTTAATAATAGTAATTTTTTAATAATAATAATTTTTTAATAATAATTATCTTTTAATAATAATAATTATCTTTTAATTATAATTATCTTTTAATAATAATAATTATTTAATAATAATAATTATTTAATAATTATAATCTTTTAATAATAATAATCTTTTAATAATAGTAATCTTTTAATAATAATAATTATTCTTTAATTATAATTATCTTTTAATAATAATAATTATTTAATAATAATAATTATTTAATAATAATAATCTTTTAATAATAGTAATTTTTTAATAATAATAATCTTTTAATAATAGTAATCTTTTATTAATAATAATTATTATTATCTTTTAATAATAATAATTATTTAATAATAATAATCTTTTAATAATAATAATCTTTTAATAATAGTAATTTTTTAATAATAGTAATTCTTTAATAATAATAATTTTTTAATAATAATAATTTTTTATTAATAATAATCTTCTAATAGTAATAATCTTTTAATAATAATAATCTTTTAATAATAATAATCTTTTAATAATAGTAATCTTTTATTAATAATAATTATTATTATCTTTTAATAATAATATTCTTTTAATAATAATAATTTTTTAATAATAATAATTTTTTAATAATAGTAATCTTTTATTAATAGTAATCTTTTATTAATAGTAATCTTTTAATAATAATAATTTTTTAATAATAGTAATTATTTAATAGTAATTATTTAATAATAATTATCTTTTATTAATAATTATCTTTTAATAATAATAATTTTTTAATAATTATTATTTAATAAAAGTAATATAATTATTATTAATTATTAAGTTAAATTATTATTATATTATTTTTTAAAAAGTTTAATAAAGATTAAGATATTTCGTAATAATTAAGATCTTTCTCGATTATATTTTATTCTTTAAAAATAAATAGAAATTCTATAATTTCTATAAAATAGAATCTCTTACGTATAATTATATATACGATTATATACTCTATATAATACCCTTATCTAAGCGTTAGAATTTATAAAATCCTCTTACGCATTTATTAAATTATTATTTTAATTTTATAAATAACGAATAATCGTTAAATTATTATAAATTAAACTCTACTCTTTTTAATTATATAATTTTTAAATACTCTAATAACATTAATAAGATAAATACTATATACTCTCTTTACGAAAAGAATATATATTATAAAGTAAAGGATTTATTTCGATATTTAATAGATTATTCTTTAAATTTTTTATTATAATATTAGAGATCTAAAAAGAATACGTTATTAATAAATTAAAAAAAAGTTTTTTTAATAAAAACGAGTATTTATAATAGATTTATTTACGCTTAATAACTAATTATAAATATTAAATACTCGAAAAATAAATCCTTCTTTAATATCGAAAATATAAATTTAATATAATAAAAGATAAATAGCGTTTAGATATAAATAATTATTATTAATATAAAGAATAAATAATTTAATCTCTAGAAAAAAAATTAGTTATTAAAATCGAAATATTAATAAATAATTTCGATAAATATATATCTTTAATTTAATATATCTTTTAAAATAAAAGAATTAACTCTATAGAATTTTTATAAATATCTAAAACTCTAATATAATAATATTAAATATATATTACTTTATCGAAATAAAGTAAATATAAAAACGTAATCTTATATATATATTATATTATTAATCTTTAATAATAATTAGTCTAAAATTAATAATCTTAATTATCTTTTATAATAGCTTATAAAATAAGATCTTTCGAATAATAATAATTAAAATTCTTAAATTACTCTAAAATCGAGACGTTTATTAATTTTATACTCTATTAAATATAATTAGCTTTAATCTTTTATAAATTAATAAATTACTTTAATAAAAATATAGATATAGAAAAACTATTTATAAAAAAAGAATAAAAGAGATTTTATCTTAAAAAATCGTAATCTACTTTTCGTCGTTAAAGAGCTTTTATAAATTATAAAATAATATAAAATAGCGATAAATTTTCACTTCATATTTTATCTCTTTCTCGCTAAAATACTATATTTTCTAATTAAAGATTATTAACGTAGTAATTATTATATATAACTTATATTTTTTTTATATAAAAATATATTTTATTCTTAGTATTTCTCGATATTATAAATTTTAATATAGGATTTAGAATATCATAGATTAAATAAATTTAAAAGATAATATATTCTAATATTTTTTTTAAGAGAGTAATTAACTTAGCTAATTTTATTTTAAATTCTCTTTTCGCGAAAATCTTAAAAAGCTTTTATTAATTATAAATTTTATATTAGTAAAAAATCTTAAATATAATTTTATTAAAAAAATATTAATTCTTTATAATCTCTCTAAATATTTTTTATTAGAGTATCTTATAAAGTCTTTATTATAGTTTTTTAGACTTTAAAAAAGTCGAAAATAGTAATAATAGTATATATATTATTAAGATCTTTTTTAAGATCTTAATTTATAAATTTCGTAGAAAGTTTATTAATTTTTATATTAAATTCGATTTCTTTAATATTAAAGAGACTTAAAATCGTAAATTTCGATATTATAAATATTTAATAGTAAATAAAAAAAAGAATATTAAATATATTAAAATTAAAACCCTTATATCTAATCTTTAATAATTTTATAATATCTTATTATATAAATAATATATCTAAAAATTCTTTAATAATATTATATATAAATATTAAAGAGTTAATTAAGAATTAAAAGATTTTTTAATATCTCTTTTTAAATAAATATATTATTTCTATACGCTATTAATATTAACTATATTATAAAAATCTATTAATTATCTAATATATTCTTAAAAAATTATAAAAAGAATAAAAGATTCATTTTAATTAAGTATTATTATTTTTTTTATAAAAAAATCGAGCTTATATTAACTCTTCTTATTTAAATAAACTATTATTTATAAATTTTAAGAGTTTAAAAAATCTAAAGACTTTTAAAATATTTTTAATATTTTAAATAAAGAAAAGAAGATAAATAGTAATATAAGAATTATATCTCATTATTAATTCTATTATAAAAAGTTACTCTTTAAAATTTAAAGAAAATATAAGAAGATTAATAAGAAGAATACGAAGAAGACGTAATAAGAGTATTCTTCGTAGGATTTTTAAAAGATATTTAAATATATAAAGAATAAACGCACTTCTATAATAAAGAGAACTATAAATATTACTTATACTTTTCATTATTTATAATATTATTTAATTTATTTTAATAATAATTATAAGAATAAAATAGAATAATATATAATTATTATAATTTATAAAATTCTTTTATAGATCTTTTAATCTAATAGATCGTCTTTAATAATATAAATATCTTATTAAATTATTTACGAAAAATTATTTATATTTTAGAGATTATTACTAAATTTAAATTAAGTATAAAATATTATAATAAAATTTTTAATATTTTATTTTATCGTAAATATTTATAATAGTAGTATTTTTTTAAAATAACTCTCTTTAAATATTATTAGAGATAATCTATTAAATCGAAAGACTCTTAAGAATTTTTTATAATAGAGAAAAAGAATACTCGCCTTTATCGCAATATTTAATCTAAATTATAATTTTTCTAAATATATTTTTTAATTTTTTTTTTAAAAAATCTATAAGTTTTAAAACCGTCGGTCTATGATTAAGAAGATTCTTTATATATTTTTATATCTAAATTTATTAGATAAGAATAATTTCTTTTTAAATCTAGATTAATAATCTTAATAAAATAACTTTTATTTTCTATTTAGAGCGTAAAAAGCGAATTTCTTTAATAAATAAAAAAGATTTATTTTTTTCGCGCTACGCGAATAACTCTAATAACTCTTTTCTTTATATTATATTCTAAATTTTTATTAATATAAAAAATAAAGTTAATTATTAATAATATTATTTAATTTATTTTAATAAAATTCTCTTTTATTTTATATAGATATTTTATTCTTTTATAATACTTATTAACGATAGAATAGATTTATCACGACTTAACTGTGTCGCGACTATATCGCGCGACGTATGCGTGCGACGCGATACTCGATACGGTCTAATTTCTTTAGTGTGAAAGTGTGATTAGGCGAGACCGTCGGCCTGGGGGGAAAAAGTTTTACTTCATATGATTATATATATCCCTTGAACTCAAGAGATTTAGAGAGTCCATACTGTCGTGCGCTGAGATCCCGCCCCTTGTGGCGATGCGCATGCCCAACCTTGGCCTGAGAAGCATATTGCAAGCAGCACCAATCGAACCTATAATTGTGCGCGGTGCTCGGGAGTCTCAAACAGCTTTTTCGAATTGCCATCGGTATGTAAGTATATTGAAAGGACTGGGTGGTTGTGTCGATTGCTGTACTGAAGCTCCTTTTCACGATTTCTGTCCGGAGACAACTAGATCCCTTGCAGTGTGAATACTGGCCCGGCGGTGTGCTTAATTTAATTATATAAGCTGTGTTGCAGTCTAGCTGTGAGAGCGTTGCCGTACCGTTTGATGCTTGTACGTCTAACTTTTGTGCCTATCTTAGGCGCTACTTCAGCGCTTTGATTCGTTCCTCCGCACAAAGACCACAAAGTACTTGACGTCAGTAAGCGAGAGACGAGCCGTCATACAGTGGAAAACTTCCCGTGTTTCCGTACCCTGATACGCCTCCAATCGTTGACTTGAGTCTGCAAGCTCTCAATTGCTATCTAACATAGATCCGATCCAGTCCCAGATCCCTTGGGTCCGGGAAGAGACTCTACATCCCCAAGTATATCCACCGTAGACTCACAATTTGCAAGCCAGGCTCTTTCACTCACCAGATCAAGGCTCTCGTTACCGCTTTTCACGACTGGGAGTTCTGGGGTGAGATGGCATGGGTGAGGTCAGGTTTTGCACCGGTCTCGACCTCGAACATGACCGATGCTAGTGCGAACCTGTCCGTGATGTCTAATATGGTGTGTGACGGGCCGTTCACCCCGAGACTTTCCGGGCTGCCAGTCGCCGATGGCTTGTCTTGTCCAAAAGGTCTGGAGCATGTGAAATCGCAGAGCACGATCGCACCCTCCGAGTGGCATAGAAGATCGTGAATTCGGACGTTCGCGTGGGCTATGTCGAGTTCGTGAAGAGGCACAGGAGCACGGAGCATGTCTCTATACCAAGCAATCCCAATGGACTGAGTAGGCTTCTCGGTCTGCTGGCGGCTTGAAAGTGCAGTACATCTTCGGAGGTATATACCCTCAGGATGCTCCAAGGAAATCGCTTGTGAAATATTGGTGGGGAAGGTTCATTCAAGACGTTTAAGGATGATACGCCCGTTCTCAATGTCCTCGTAGTGGCGGACGGTATGTAGAGCATACTCGTACTTACCGAGCCATCTGCGAGGAGTGGTTTGTTGGGTGGACGAATGTGGCAGGTGATCTCAAGACGACCTGGTCATTGACGACGCAGATGTACGAGTAAGCAGGAGACCCGCCGTCCAGCCTCTCAAGTTCTTTCTGAAATTGAGCAAGCGTTAAAGCGATCGCCTGTTAGAACTAAAGACTCTCATACATTCACACCCGTATCACCTCAAAGGCTCGGCCTGGCTTCCTTGTTGCATATCCGTTGAGGAGGATGGAGTGCTAGGATATTTTGTTTAGTAATTTGTGGGGAGTTTGGTTGTCAGAAGTGGGCTTCAAGAAAGAGAATTCCTGGTAACTTATATCGAGGACTGGTGGGAAAATCCGTACCATACTCTGGAACAATAGGGATGGAAGGGTAAAGAGACATGCAATATAGCGAAGACTCTTACACCACCACCACCAACACACAGTCCTTGAAAGCTCCATTCTGCCACGCACGTATACCATATGTGCAGCTTCTCCCCTAACGAAAGGTCCGATATTTGAGTCCCGAAAGACTACATCGACTGCATGGAAAGATTGTCACATGTAATGTCGTGATCATGGTGCCTGCCATTCCTTACGCAGCTTCAGCTTATCTTGTCACAAGCAGCAGGCTCACAAAGCACGCCAAGCGCAAAAGACAGCAATATGACTCTCGAATCTTGATGGGGCCAGTCGAGTTCAATCTTTTCCAGGCGAGAACCCAGCGTATTTCGCAATCATGAGGCGGAAATTACCTAAGGCCATCACAACGTATTCTTCCCACTTTCCTACCGCCGCTCATGCACCAACCTCCCCCTCACAAACACCTTCTTCGTATTCCGATCGTCCCCGCAAAACAGCCACTTGGCCACCTTCTCCCCCCACGTCTCCATGCCCCACAGCTCCACCGGCCCTCCGTCCCCGTCCCCGCCATCGTCGGCTCCCCCCTCGCCATCTACGGCATCGAGTTCGACAAGCTGCGCATCCCACTGCATGCCCACCTCGAACCCTCCCACCTTCCCTTCCAACCCCAAGCACTTGGCGCCGCCCTTTGTAGCGAGGTAGAGACATTCTTCCACGCTGAGCTTTTTCCTATCCTTGGCGCTCGTCGAGTGCTTCGCCGCGACGTCATTCGACGCTTCCGCTCCCCACTGGCCCTCCTTCTCATCTGACCGCGTGTCCTCCACGGTCAGCGCAGCCAACGTCCTACTGACCATCGCCGCCTCCCTGGCCGCCACCAGGATGCTGGAAGAGTATCCCCCACTGACATCTGTCCCCAACCCGACTTCGATGCCATCGTCCAACAGCTCCCGCACAGGGCACAGCCCGCTGCTTATGCTCGTATTGCTGACGGGGCAATGGCTGACTTTACTCTTCCGCTCTTTCAACAACATCCTTTCCTCCAGAGAAAGATGCACGCAATGTGCCAAGACGGTCCTTGGCGTCAGCAGACCGTGAGTATCGTAGACGTGAGAGTACGAGTCGTGCGCGGGGAACTGTCTGCGGACCAGCGCGATCTCGGACGTATTTTCGCTCAGGTGCGTTTGGATCGGGAGTGCAGATTCTTTGGCGAGAGCGCCGAGGCCCGAGAGCAGCGGTGACGAGCACGAGGGTACGAATCGAGGTGTGATGATTGGCGTGATGAGAGCGTGCGTCGGGTCGATAGAGTCGATGTGAGCGATCGTTGCTTTTGTATCTTCGACCGCCTGTTCCGGTGACTCGTCTCGGAGGTAATCGGGATTGAGATCGTTGTCCATGCATACGCGGCCGATGAAGGCTCTCTGACCCTTCTCCAGACAGATGTCCGCAAGTAGGTTTGTCGAAGCGACGTGTTTAGTAGCATAGTAGGAGGCCGTTGTGGTGCCGTGGGAGAGTGTTCGAGATACGCAGGCAGAGTAGACGCGGCGAGCTTTAGTGAGGGAGGAGAGGGATGATTCGATAGGAAACGTGTAGGTGTTGAGCCAGTCGAGGAGGGTAGTCTTGCCAAAGATTCCGACGTTGGGGTACTGGGAGGCGTGAATGTGGGTGTCTACACATTCGAAGGATGATCAGTCATGTAGGCCTTGGTCAAGCATGATACATCGACTGTGCCAAACATGTAGACTCGACGTGACAGCGCAAGGAAATAGAAGAGGGATAGTCTCCTTCGATAAGAACAAATCCGCGCAGTGCAAATGCAAGCTCATGACAGCCACATAGCTGTGGATAGCCTCTCATTCTGCATCTCAGCAAAGACCGCAGCCTGGACATGAAAGCCCTAAAGATTCAAAGCCCACACCATAACATTTTCACAACCCGTGTAATCGAAAAACACCCCACTTAGGGAAAAAAGAAAAGAAAGAAAGACTGAAGCCCATCATTCCCTCCAGCAACTGTACCAACATATTCCTACCCCCTCGCAGGATTCAAATATAAAACCATACAAACCGAAGTCCAGACACGATACCTATCCTACACCCCCCCAAAACCCGCAACCCCCTCCCCCATCCCCTCATCCAAACCAAAACCCACCAAAAACAAACAAACCACCAACCCCAAACGCAAAACGCAACCGCACTCACCGACAAACCCCGGGAACCACCACCCCCTCCCCTCCCCGCCCGGCCTCACCCACTCAAACCCCCCATCCCAGCCCCAATTCCGCCCGACCCAACCCACCACATCATCATAGCCCGTCGCCGCACCTCCCGGCGGGAACGCGGCCCGGTGGGTGATGACGCCGTGTCCGTCGACGGCGAGGGCGTGGTTGTCCAGGATTTCGAGTCCGGTGGGGGTGGGGGTGGAGACGAAGGTGCCGGTGTAGAGGGTGCGTTTGAGGAGGGGGGGAGGCATCGTGGGGGTGGTGGGAGATGGGAAGGGGAGGGTTGGTTGGGATGCTACATGGGAGGGGTGGGAGATGGAGATGTATGAGGTATCTAGAGGAACTTGCTAGGGGGGGAGTGGGAGGGAGCTAGCGGCTCGAAACGGTGGCCGGCGCTCGCCGCTGAGCTTTATTATAGACAGGCATCAAATGTGCGACTTCGAGGCTGTCTCTGCAGGGGGAGAAGACATGTGGTAGATGGTCACTAGACTGCTTGGAAGTGTGTCTATGGAAAGGAAAAGGAGGATCAAGCCCGATTAAGTATGGAAGATCGATGCTATTATGCAAGAAAGCCACAAAGGAGGATCCAGCCCCTAGTGGATATCCTTGAACAAGTCTTCCCCGCCCAACCCTCCCCCGCCACCCACAAACACCGGCAATTGCGGCGGCGGACTGTATGACCTTGGCGGCAGTGGCTCCTCAATCTCTGGCAGCGTCTTCTCCGAGTCCAAGTCTTCCATTGTCGCATCCTCCTCCGCCTCATGGCTCCCATCAGTCATGCTGTTCTGGCCTTCATTCGTACTACTGCCCGTAGCCGCCGTCGATTCGCCATTCAAGCCTGCATTCTGTGCCTGGTTCTCCTTCCCATTCATTGCGGCAAACGCATTAGCCAAATTTAGGTTGCTCTTCCTCCTCCAGAATGTCCCGCTCTTTCTACTTTGCACACCTTGTATGTCATCCTTCGGCGCTGGGCTCAGAGGTCTTGCCTCCTCTGCCACCGAATCACCTCTCGTCACAGGGCTCGAAGGGGAAGCCGGAGTATCCTCCCCAAAATTCATGCCCAGACTGCTCTTCCGACGCCAGAATGTCCCGCTCCTCTTCTTGTTCAAGCTCGGTCGTAGACTAGATGTGAAACTCTCCCCACTCGCAGATGCCGGTCGGTCATTCTGGGAATGGAGGGAGGCATTGTCGTAGCTTCGTCGGAGAGCTTTGAAGGAGAGGAAGTTCCGAACACTACCTGGTCTCTTCGGACTCTTGGAAGTCGGCGAAGGTGTATTATTTGATGCCGCAGGCGAAGCGTTGTATCCTGCATTCTGCAAAGGCGATGAAGCTGGCGGTGTAGTGGGAAAGGCACCGGGCATTATGGAGGCCGGGCTCGAAAAGTATGCTTCATTGCTCAAGGGGCTCTTCTGCCGTTCGACGGGCTTGCGTTTCGGTGTGATGGGATGGGTCATTGGTGGATCCTTAGGCGGTGGAACAGGGGGTAACGCGGCGAAATTTGGAGAGATTGGGGCAGGGGCAGGGATGGATGTGCCGGTCGTGAGGGAGCCTGTGGAGGGAGGCAGGGGAGGCAGTCTGTACGAGGGCGAGGAGGGCCTATTGTAGGATGAAGAAGATGGCCGTCTTCTTTCACTGGATGAGTGCGACGTGTTGGAGGAGGCGCTGAAAGATGGTCGCCGGTCAGAGGCCATTGCGTCAAAGTCTGTGCGGGTACTAAGCTGAAAGCAGCGCAGAATATGCAGGAGTACTGCAGAGAGTACGAAAAAGAATATGCAGGGTAAAGGGTCAAACGAGTGGAGTAAAAATAGCTATAGACGGGGAATGTAAATACCTAGATAATATTATTTATTCAAAGGAGATGCGAATGAAGGAAGAAAGAAAACCAGACGATGATAAAATTGTGTTACCGTGGTCTAAAATACGCCTCGGATGCTTCTCCACAGCTTGGCACATCACGTGGCCTCGTGGCTTGCTCCGCTTCGACGGGAAGTGCCGGAGAATATACAATCGGATAATTCTTCCCTGCTGCTCAAATACCTCTCGCGGGTCTCGAGTCAATGCTCGATGGAAGCATTCGATCATGGCTATACTCAGTGCCCACGAGATTGGCTATAATCTCGTACTCGAGCATGAGTCACGCTCTACCAAGGCCTGTATGAGTCCCGTGCATTTTATTCACAAGCAGACCAGATACCAACGTGCACTGGAGCTTTGGTGGTTGATCGAGCATTGAAAATTTTTCACAACACGGTGCTAATTACGAATAGATCGGAATAACAACTTTCGCAACTCGTAATGGTGTCCTAGTCAGGACTTGAAGAATAAAGCAATAGAACCCGTTCCTGACGAGTTCTATGCGGTTAAGAAAATACAACCGTCCATCATCCAAGACTGTCCGATTTCGATATCCGTACAGGTGTTTAGCTCTTCCACCCACTCAGCTCGCAGCCGCAAGCACGCTCTTTGCGATGTTGCCATCAGACCCCATGACAATCCTGTAATCGCCATCCTTCATGTACTCGAACCATGAGAACCCTGTTTAGACGCACCACAATTAGCTGAAGCTCTTCATGTAGAGAAAGACCTCCTCAGAAGAACATTGCCACAAACATAGAGCTCCTGTTATGGAGAAGAGACTCACCAATATACTGCGGACAAACCTTCAACGTCTCCTTTGAACTGACCTGGCCCAGCCAATACTCCTTCTGCGCGGTCGTCCCACCCTGCAACCACCCCGTCTCCCCCAACGCAACCGGAATCTGCGGATACTTCGCACAAAATGCACCCATCATCAATTCAAACGTCGCTTGTTCCCCACTGAGAATCTCTCCGTACGCATCCAATCCCACAATATCCACATACTCGCTGCCTGGAAACCACTCGGCGTCCATCGTGTCCACGGTGTCGCCTGGCTGGAAAGGGGGTATCAGACTCCAAAACATCTTAACCCGGGAGCGATCGACGCCTTTAGCAACGGCCTGCCACATGGCCTTGTACTCCTCGGTGGTGCCGTGGTATTTGACGGTAGGGTCAGTGTTTATGGTGTTGGTGTCGATGTACCAGTTCACCTCGTGAGCGAGACGGAGCCAGATGGTTTGGGATCCTTCTGCGAGGATCTTATTCATCGAAGCCACGACCGCTGAGGCCGAGACTTCAGAGAATGGAATGTATGGCTGGAGAGCGATAATGTAGATGGCGCCTTTGAGTGAAGAAGGCATGGCTTGAGTGTCCATTTGTAAGGCCGCCCCGCTCATGCTGGTCGCCGAGGTAATTTGGGCGTAGTTACCGTAGGTGCAGGGGCCGTGTAAGGAATCGACTTGGCTTTGAATGGTCGTTATGTTGACTCCGTCTGGCAGCCAGCCCATAGGCACGCCGTTTGGTCTGTAGCATTCTGGTGAGAGACCGAGACCGGCGATCGAGGCTGCTAATGGTGATGTGCTGTTAGAGGTTGATGTTGTGTCGTTCGAGTGAGGAGAGGTAATGCTTTGCCCGGAACTTGGAGAAATGACTGCAGAACTGGTCGGAGTGCCTCCTCCAACCACAGCAACCGGCGAACTCTCAATCGCTGCACTGCTCACACTCAAGCTAGATACCGCAGGTCCATGCGTGGTAATGTGGAACCGCTGGTGGACACCGCCGCCATGTTGTGGGTGCGCATTCCCATACATTGGTGCCACCAGGGCAAGCCCAAAGATAGCGACGCACGTCTTCATGGTGTTTGAGAGGTAATGAAACCAAATAGTCAAGCGAGTGTGGTATATAGGCACAGTCAATGTACGGAGTGACCGAGCAATATCGAGCTCTTGCAAAGGGAATGTAAAAAGAGGAAAAGAGTGTGGGTGACGGAGTACGTAAAGAATAGAAGTGAGGAAGGAGTAGACTTTTAAAGGAAGAAGAGTGGAATGAATAGGAGAAAGGTGCACAGTGAGGCGCAAAGGGGATTAAGCACGTCGCAGCAAGATGGAGGCTAAGTTGTTTCATCGGAGATTATTAGTCCACTCACACCATTCACAGCTGCTTACGACATAGATATCACGATTTTCGGCGTCAATATTCTGCGACAATTTGACAATTTCCCCTGTACTCCACAATTCACAATTCTCCTGCTATTTCTTTTGCTAACTCCCAGAAAATTAGTATATGTGTTGGCCGCCGTGGGCCGTAGAGCCTCTGTAGGTATACCGTATCAAATCGGTGAAAGATATGTCCTTATGCATTTGCCGTAGTAGGCAAGGTGATTGATGCATGCACTATGCCTTAGGCGCTCATAATTAAATTAATCCAGTAGGTAAGCACAAATCCTGTGCAACCAATTTCAAGCGTGTTCTGGGCCGCAGACACAGGAGTGCGGACCCTCTGATCCTGCGATGCGATGTGACGTCGCGGGGTAGGTACATACGAGTATGTCGCCGGACCCCTCAGACACAAGAGGTACGTGGAATGCAAAATGTGTGATGAGATGAGAGGCAGATTTTAACGTTGGCTGGCACAAGAACCATGTTATCCAGCTTGCCAATCAGTGCAACGGAGATCCATTGTTTGAATGAGATGCAACGAGAGTCCTAGGATATGGACAAGAAGACATGTTATTCGAACGAAATTCATTCGTGAAGAAGATTAGTAGGAACGACGGGAGTGGCCAAGGCCTCCGTTGGGCTTGGCGTCAGGTGATTTAGCGCTGAAGATCCTCGACATCGACATAAAATATTCAATCAACAGGAGTCGATCGGACAGGTGTCGCTATTACGCTGATGCCACTTATCTAACCTCAGTGACGGAGTAGTACATGGGTTACATAAAACTGTGAACATCAATCTGTCAGGGACAGCTTTTCGACATCATCTCTTTCAGTCACCTTGACCCGAGCTGCTACCAAGGAGAATTCATCCTTTTGCCCCCTTCGGATGACTTCTGCCACAAACAATGCTATTTCTGTGACACACCTTCGGGACTTCGAAGAGAACATGTCGTATTCAAGAAGACTAATGGCCAAACTTTGCTCTGTTAACCGCAAACTGACGTGGTTGAATTTCATCTTCCAAGTCTGCACTCAAATTGATGGGTATACACATTGTATTGCACCTGTTTTTGTGGCACATCTTCTGTATGGAAGGTATTGTTATTGTCAGTAATCATGTTCTTATGCTTGTCAAAAGTGAATGAATGTTCATATGGTCTCGTTCACTTCCAAATCACCACAGTACGCAACAATGGCCCCATTCACTGTTATACAAAATGAGGACCCATTCATTCTATTCATCTCTTCACCAACAATAGGAACGCAAGCTCAAGGTCAGTATGGCCTTCGAAGGCGCCGTCTCACCTTGTCATCGTCTACTATTCAAAAGCGCGGGTCGTATTTTCTTCTCGTCTCTAATGGCCATCATTCGTACCCACCCCTCCAGACAGCGGGCAGGGACCCCTGTGACGCCGACGAAGGCATCTTCCCATGCTTTGCTAAACCGTGTCTGCGACAGGCCTGGTGCCGCCATCTCCAAGCAGCTTCGAGCGAGTCAACAATCAGGCAAGAGGACACGAAGCCCAAGCGCGCAGCTTCGAGCCGAACTAGAGAGTGCTGTCTCCGGTATAGCCTCCGCAAAAGGGCACGAAGAAGCACTCCGCATCCTTTTCGTACCATACCCAGACGTCAAAGACATAGCAGAAGAAACGCACCTCGCCATCGATGCATCCAATACCTCCGACCGCTTCTTAGCTCGCTATCCCATGTACGATGCCGAAAACATGTCAATGATCCAGCAAGAACTAGGCAAAGGCTTCGCCTCTCACGGCATGACGAGCACAAAACCCTACTACGAGATCCCTATCCTGCACCAAGGCGTCGTCACGATGCAGCATCTCTCCCACAGCTTCAACCGCGACGTGACATTCCGATCCTGGGAATGGTTGCAGGCCCAGCTCAAGATGGTCACTGCTCGACCAAAATGCTCTTCAACAGCCAAAGTTCGCTACCCACCACCACGCAAGACCCCAACCCATCCACGGAAAGCGCAGCAGCACGCCTTATTCTCCGACTCCAACATCCCCTGCATCATATTCCTCCACTGGACCATCGACCCCGGACCTTCTAGTGCCGAGATCAGCGCCATCTACGCCACCATCGCCAGCATCCAATCCTCCCGCCCTGGACAACTCTTCCGTGCCTTCCCCTCCCACTCAGAACTGACCCGTGAAACCTCCAAAATCCCCGACATCCACGCCCTCGACGCCATCGCCTCCACCTCACCCCCAAACTACACCTACAGACCGCAAACCTGCTTCACGCACGGCGAACGCGCCCACGACATGACCCGCTGCCCCCTCCGCGGCCACCGGCAAATCATCATGAAGCGAACCCGCAGCTGCGGCGGCGACCACGTCGAATGCATCGACGGCGACACCGCCCTCCCACGGCACAGACCCTCCCCCCCACACCGCTGGTTCGGCCAATCCTACGAACCCTCCTTCTCCCTCTTCGGCGAATTCCGCGTCTACATCACCGCCTCCCCCTCGCCCGGCCACCCCCGCGCCCTCCGCGGCCGCGAGGGCCGGGTCCGGCACACCGTCGTCACGGAGTGGGTCCGCGGGCACGACCCCGGCGCCATGTACGCGCGCGCGGCGACGGCGCTGGATTTCCGCGCGCCGGACGTGCGGCCGCTGGGGCTGGCGGACCTGCACGCCTTCGCTTTATACATATATGACCGGCTGCGCTCGCGCGAGGATTGGAGGGAGCAGTTTGAGAGTCTGGAGATGGGGGTGCGGTTGGATGTGGGGGTTGGGACGGAGGGGGGGAAGGGGGAGGAGGAAGAGGAGAAGGGGAAGGAGAAGGAGAAGAAGCGGTTCTTTGTGAACGAGATCACGCGCTTCTACGGGGCTGATTATTTCAGCCAGCATACGCTCGGTACGCCGCAGCAGGAGGTGTGTTGGGCGTTTGCGGAGGCTGTGGATGGGTATTTTGGTGCGGAGAAGGGCGGAGGTTAAGGGGGGGCGGGGAGGTGGATGAAGGGGAAGTTTAGATATCAGATCGTAGGATGATCATCATCATCATCACTAATCTCTAGCAATTTAGCGAGCATGTGGAAGCACGGTGGGGAGTTGAACATAGACCATGTCCAAAGGCTTCTTTGTGCCTTTTAGGTTGTAACAATACCACTCCAAAACACCCCCATTTATCTACCTCTTCTTCCCACAGCTAGTACAACAATCCTCCGGCCTCGGCCTGCCACTCAACGTATCAACCGTCTTCTTATACTGCAACCAACTCTCATCCTTCGGCCTCCTATGATTCCAATTCGTCTCTTCCCTCTCCAGCCTTTCCATGGCTCCGAAAACCACGCTGATGCCTTTGACTCCAATAACAGCCATGCTGAGGTCATCTTCCATGATCTCCTCTTTCGACTTGCCCGCGTATTGCTCTATCGCTTGTATGCACTTCACCGCGAGCCTGACTGCGCGGACGCGGTCCATAGGGGAGGGCGTGCCGCCTTGTTGGACGTGGCCGGGAATGGCGAAGCGGGACTCGAAGCGGCCTTTGGATTCTTCACGGATCATGTTAGCAACGACTTCGGTGGTGTAGGTTTCCGACGCGTGCTCGTTGCATAGGATGAGTTTCCCAGCGCGTGTTTGGCCTTTGTCTTTCGCAAAGCTTTGTTTCAAGTGCTCAATATCACGCCCGAGCATTTGGAGATTGATGCCCTCTTCAGGCGTGTAGACTGCTACGGCCCCGATGCCTAACGCGCCCATTGTTGCAATGTAGCCAGATTTGCCACCTTGGGTCTCGACTACGAAAATCCGGCGGCGTGAGGCCGATGCTGATTGTTTGATGGCATCACAGTATGAGGTCAGCGCGTTGAGACATGTATCGCTTCCTACCGAGTACTCGGTGCCTGGGACGTTGTTGCTAATGGTTGCAGGTAGCAGCATCATCGGTATCCGGAAAGCTGGGTAATCCGGTCGCGCTTTTCGGAGCTCGCTGAGCGCCGTGAAGGCTTCAAAGCCTCCGATGATGAACAGTGCATCGAATTTATAGATATTGAAGCAGTCTGCGGTCTCTCCCATGCCCACTTTCGAGGGTAGATCTCGGTTGGTGCCGATCTCGGATCCACCCTTACTGATCCAACCTTCGACATCCAGCCACTGTACGTAGCGAACGGATCCGACAGGCTCATCGGCGTGGTGACGAACGAGCCCTGGGAAGCCGTTATGTATGGCGATCGGTGTGTGGCCTCTAGAAAGACAATATGCTACGGCTGCTCTGGTGGCTGAATTCATTCCACCAGCAGGGGCTCCTACGTGGATGATGGCAATGTTCATGTGCTGTGATATGTTAGCCCTGGAGTATAAGGAGAATTGAAGAAAACCCATCTTACTGTCTGTTTTGGCAAGCGTAAGGCAGGTTGATCCGTGGCGGTGGTCATCATATAAGCCTGATGGTATTCTGCAAATTCTGGCCCCCGCAGATCTAAGGCTCTTTTGAAGTCTTTAGCTTTGATAGCTTCAGCCACTTCTTGAGTCGACTTTACGGCCTCAATCAAAGGGTTTCGGACAATTTTGTTTTCTATGATGGCGATGAACTTGGATGGTGTTTCTGGTGTGGCCTCAAGTACTGCGTTGACAGCTTCCACACCCTGTAGAGTAGATAGCTGTCGGTCATAGGCACAAGCGTTACCGCCTCTTTGTACGTGTCCGAGGGTTGTGATCCGGGTGTCGAGCTTCAGTCTGGTGGATAACAGGTCTTTAACTTTGTTAGGTGATATTCTGGTTAGATCAAGGTCGTGTGCGCCTTCTGCGACTATGACGATCGTTTTCCGCTTTCCAAGTTTTCGGTGCTGTAGTATGGTCAGCAACAGTTACCGCAGATGATTTTGAGGCTCTACCTTGGAGATAATGTCGCACATTTGATCCTCCCAGTCTCGGTCTGGTGGACTCTCAGGAATGAAGATAAAATCTGCCCCTGTGCTCACGCCAGCCATAAGTGCAAGCCAACCACAATGCCTTCCCATGACCTCGATCACGAAAGCCCGCTGATGTGAGAATGCGGTAGCATCGATGTAGTCCACGGCCTCACATATCCTGCCCAGTGAAGAGTAGCAGCCAATTGTAGCATCCGTGTCGGCAAAATCGTTGTCTATTGATCCCACTAGGCCGACAATGTTCAGGTATTGGAATGTCTTCTGCTGCTCTGTGCTGATGTCCCCGTTCTTCACCTAGAGATTGAGTTAGCATCCTTCTTGTCGAGCTTTGCGGACACGAAGGTCGTTGGGGTACAAAATGAATCTTTGGCTATCCGGATTGGCAAGGTTGCAAACTTACAAGCTCCTCGAGCAGACTGGGCCATTCCCCTCTGAATGTGTCGGCCCCAGTTAGACTACCATCCCCTCCGCAGATGACTAGTGCATTGATCCCCTTGTCGATCATATTCTTCGCCGCCTTCAACCGCCCCGGTCTTTCTGTAAATGCTTTGCACCTTGCTGTACCAATCAAAGTGCCTCCTTCCGACAGCCAACCTCGAACGTCTTCCCAATGCGCCTGTCGTATGAGGTCGCCGCCCTGTACCAGACCCTCGTACCCTTCATAGACGCAGTAAGCTTCACAGCCTTGGTCGATTGCCATCCGGACGACTGCGCGTACTGAGCCATTCATTCCAGGTGAGTCTCCCCCACTTGTCATGACTGCGATTCTCTTCTTCGGGGCGGGCGCCCCATTGGTGATAGGTGCCATGGTAGGGGAATTGAATGCAAGAGAGAGTAGTAGGTTAATAGTAGAGCGAGGAGAACGGGAAGGGAGTTGTAGGAAAAAGAAAAAGAAAAAGAAGAAGGGAAGGAAAGGATAAAAAGAAAAGGCAAAAGAGTAATTCGCCGACAAGCTTCAGCTTATCAGAGCTACTCACTAGGAAACGCAGTTTACTAAGTAGGAAAAACAACTTTTTTAAAACCCCCAAACCCCCCCCCCCCATCAAAATGCCTACTTCTTACTAAAATATAATGTACTTTATACTAATATATTAAAATCTATATTTTAAAGAATATAAGTTATAGAGTATATTTTATAGTATAATTAAAAATTTAAATTATTATTAATCTATAGAGGTAAGTAATAGTTAATTAAAAAAATTAATTATTTTTTTTTTCTTAGAGACTTAATAGTATATATAATAACTCTTTATTATAGTATAAAAAGAAAATAATATATATAAAGAAATATTAAAAATAAAAATTTTAAAAAAAAAAAAAAAAAAAAAAAAATTTTAAAAAAAAAAAAATTTTTAAAAAAAAAAAAAAAAAAAAAAAAAAAAAAAAAAAAAAAAAAAAAAATTTAATTAAAAAAAAAATAAAAAAATAAAAAAATATTTTAATTTTAAAAAAAAAAAAAAAAAAAAAAAAACCTTTAAAAAAAAAAATTATAAAATTTAAAAAAAAAAAAATATTTTAAAAAAAAAAAAAAAAAAATATAAAAAAAAAAAAAAATTAAAAATTAAAAAAAAATAAAAAAAAAATTTAAAATTAAAAAAAAAAAAAAAAAAAAAAAATTAAAATTAAAAAAAAAAAAAAAAAAAAAAAAAAAAAAAAAAAAAAAAAAAAAAAAAAAAAAAAAAAAAAAAAAAAAAAAAAAAAAAAAAAAAATTTTAATAATAAAAAAAAATAAAATAAAAAAAATAATAAATAAAAAAAAAAATATATTTTTTTTATATCTCTCGCTTAAATATTACTAAATATCTAAGATATATATCTCTTTCCGCCCGTTTTTAAATTTCTTATTAACGTCTCTAGATTACTTCTCGATAAATTCGCTATTATTAATAATCGAGGCCGTAAGCGAGCTTAATAGCTATTTATTACTACTTATAAACGCGTTAAAAGACCCTAAAAAAGAGCTTAAACGAATATATTCTTCTTTATATATTTCTCTTAAGCTAGCGATAGATAGATTAAATTAATATTTAAATATTATAGTTATATTAAACGCGTTCGATTTAGATATATATATCTCTTTTACTTATCTCTTAGAGTCTCTATTAATACTCTTAGATTATCTCTTAGCGAATTCGCTATTATTAATAATCGAGGCCGTAAGCGAGTTTAATAGCTATTTATTACTACTTATAAACGCGTTAAAAGACTCTTAAAAAGAGTTCGAATAAATACGTTTTTCTCTATATATTTTTTCTAAGCTAATAATAGATAGATTAAACTAATATTTAAATATTATAATTATTTTAAACGCGTTCGAAATCGAATAATAATTCTTCTATCTATTTATATAATTATTCTTCTTTTACTATTCTATTAATTCTATTAATTCTATTAATTCTATTAATTCTATTAATTCTATTAATTCTATTAATTCTATTAATTCTATTAATTCTATTAATTTCATTAATATAAATATATTTACTCTCGATATTCTTATACTTAGTTAAATAAGAGAAGAATCTATAATAGACGAATATAAAGAATACTATAGAGAATATTATAGAGATAGTTATTAGTAGTAGTAATATAATAGACTTACTCTTTATAATCTTATATTAATTTATTTAATTAGTATAAGAGAAGTTAATATAGTAAGCGAATATAGAGAATACTATAAAGAAATTAAGCGATAATAAGATTTTTAATATTAAGAATACGACTTAGCTCTTTAAGATCTTACGTTATATACTTTTTATAATTCTATATTAAATTATTACTTAGTAAGCGAAGAATATTACTATAACTTAGTTTATTATTCTTACTATATTAAGAAGTAAGAGAAGAAATTATAATAGATAAATGTAAAGAATATTACGAAGAATACTATAGAGAATACTACGAAGAAATTAAGCGATAATAAGATTACTATTATTAGAAATACGACTTAGCTCTCTAAGATCCCACGTTATATACTCTTTACGATTTTATATTAAATTATTACTTAGTAAGCGAAGAATATTATTATAACTTAATCTATTATTCTTATTATATTAATATAATATATTATTATAATAACGTTATAAGAGAAGAATCTACTACGATAATTATAGTTAATTAAATCTCTATAAAAGAAATATTATAAGAGAAGAAATTATAATAGATAAATGCGAAGAATACTACGAAGAATACTACGGAGAATACTACGAAGAATATTACGAAGAATACTACGAAGAATACTACGGAGAATACTACGGAGAAATTAAGCGATAATAAGACTATTATTATTAAGAATATAACTTAACTCTTTAAGATTTCACGTTATATACTCTCTACGATTTTATATTAAATTATTACTTAATAAGCGAAAAATATTATTATAACTTATTTTCTTATCTCTATTATATTAATATAATATATTATTATAATAATATTATAAGAGAAGAATCTACTACGATAATTATAGTTAATTAAATCTCTATAGAAGAAATATTAAATAATATATATTTAGATAAATTAAAATTATTCGATATCTTACTCTAATAGCTATTTTATTATTCGAAAGATTTTACTACGATAGAAGATAATATAAAATTTATATCACTAATTAATATATTATCTTTATTTCTTTTCGATATTTCGATACTCTTTCTCTATTTTTTATAAATAATTATTATAAATTAATTCTTTATATTTAATATACCTTTCTAATTAAATCTTAGCGCGCCTCTCTTTATATATATTAGTATATATAATAGAATAAGATAGAGCTAAACTAGAAAACCTTGAATTTGTATATACAGTCAATTATTAATTCGTTAGGTCTACGCTTTTTAGTTAGATACCGCGGGTAAATAAATTAGCGTCCGTAATTATTAAAAAAATAGGTATATATTATTAACATATAGAAAAACTTTTTTATTTTCTATTAACTTTTTGAGATTTTTTTTTTAAATTATAGAACGAAATGTAGGCTTTTAGATAAGAAAAGAAATTCTAAATTTAGTCTTATAATTATTAAACCGCAAGGAATTCAAATATCGCTCACCAAAGTTCGCTCGACAGCCGGATCAAAAAACAGGTATACATTATTTGATTTTAGAATAACTTTTTTATTTTCTATTAAAATTTTAGAATTTTTTGTTTAAACTATAGAGTATAATGTGGGCTTTCAGATAAAAAAAGAATTACTAAATTTAGTCTTATAGATATTTAAAGGTAACGAATTCAGATATCGCTCATCAAAGATCGCTCATCAAAATTTACTCGATAGCCCCGATCAAAAAAAAATGGTTATGAATTTAATTCATAGGATATAGATTAAAAACGCATAATAAGCGATTAGAGTTCGATTTGACTTAGGGCTAGGGCTAAAATTCGATTTAACTTAGAAAAATCTAACTTCATGAATTTAATTTATGGGCCTTTACTTGTTAGACTATAATATAAGTTGGATCCATAGCTCCATCCTACATGATCGCGCAATGCATATCTCCACATTTGATATCAACATGCGATGATACCAGTTGGCTCGAACAGCAGGACTCGATGCCGAACGCATGTGTCGAGTTGATTGCATACTGTATGGTTGTATATGTTGTATTCTAGCTTGACCATGCATAGTAAAATTTAGCGTATTCAAAAACGTCTGGAATGCTTGGCACCGGAGATCTTTCACACCACACACCCAAATTCGTACTGTAGCATAGAAATCTCTTCGTAAAATTATTTAAATTAAGTAGCTATAACTACTTGCCAAGGCTTTTAATAGAAATAAAGAAAATATATAATCTTCGCCAAAGTAGAAGTACTATGGGAAACAGGTATAGCGATTAAGAGGCTAAGGAATATATTAAGACTTTAGTATAACTTTTTTTTTTCTTATCTAAGACCTATACTAACGATAGCAGTGTTATTAAATGATTTTACGGAGAGATTTCTATGCTACAGTTCGAATTTGGGTGTGTGGTGTGAAAGATCTCAGACGTTTTTGAATACGCTAAATCTGGCACTGTCAAAACCCTTAAGCGGAGTTAACCTTCATCTGCATCTGTGCTGCTCAAAGATGGAGCGCAGATCGGTACCCTTTGAGTACGCTTGACTTCGTGCACTTTACATCCAGGCACTGTATAGAACCAGCCTTTTTTGTATTGTAAGCCCCGCTAGACGTAAAGTACTTTACTGATACCCCGGTGGCTAGTGTCCAAGATCCTGTCGATTAAAATGCAGCTTTTCTTTGTGTACTAGATGAAAGGCAAATGCTATTCTCCATGTTTCTTAGTTGAGCGTGGTGTACAATGAGGCTCAGACGGGATTTGACCGTGTCAATTCTCTACGCCGTCTATGTTATTACCGAACCGGTCGATATACGCTCCGAGTATGCGGTTAAAGACTCTCACCCTGTACCAGATGGCTGGAGTTACGTGTGCAAGGCACCACCTGACCACGTGATTGAGCTTCATATCGCATTGAGGCAAGCCCACTTCGACATTTTGGAGAAGCGCCTCTAAGAAGGTAAGCCTTCGGAAATCAGCGTCTTTGTGACGAATTCACCAGGTACTCTAATGTTCTTGTCATGACACCCAGTCTCCGACCCTGCCCACCGACGATATGGAAGACATCTCCCCATCGCCGAAATCAACAGCCTTACCAAACCACGAGATGAAACCCTGGAGCATATCCATCAATGGCTCTCAGATCACGGTGTTGACGAGAGAAGTTTCATGGAAAGCGCAGCACAGGACTGGATTACGCTCCGATTGCCTGTCTCCAGCATAGAACGATTGCTCCAAACAGAATACTCGACATACCGGTGCGAACATCATGGTTCTGTTGCAGTCCGTGCGCCAACATGGTCATTACCACAGCACTTGCATGAACACATTGACAGTATACAACCTACCAACTCATTCCTTCAGGCCTCCTCGCCATCGAAGACCCTCTCCAAGCTACCTTTGCCCCAAGTCGGTGAGAGGCTACTTCAGTGAGGTTAGAACGATAGAAATCATCCTAATATGACTATTGTCAACGAGAGTGCAGAGGAGGTATCCGCGGATACTCTTCACTCCATGAACGTGGCCAACAGGCCCGCAAACTTGACCGTGAGTCAAGCATATAACGCCAGCGCGGTTGATCCGGTCTGTGATCGGGTGCTTTATGGTCTCCTGGCCTATAAACCCCAAGCCGCAGGTCGGATTAAAATGGCGTTGACCAACTACCTCGGCCAATTCAACAACCAAACAGACCTCGACCTCTATCTTCAAACGTACCGACCAGATGCAACCGGCCCCGCAAGCAATTGCACAAACGTGAACATAGCCGGCGGTATCAATAAGCAATCCCACGCCACGCCAGACGAGCTCAGTGCAGGGCTGGGCCGCGAAGGAAACCTAGATGTCCAAATCATGATGGGCATCGCCTACCCAACGCCCCTGATCACATACAGCACTGGGGAGTCCCTCCCTCCGTTTCATCCCGACCTCTTCACGCCGACCAACACCAACGAGCCCTTCCTCACCTGGCTGCATTACATGCTCGCCCTAGCCGATCTCCCCCAAGTCATCAGCACCTCCTACGGCGACATCGAGCACACCGTCCCGCCCGCCTACGCCCAACGTGTCTGCGAGGCCTTTGCCCAGTTCGGCGCCCGCGGCGTCACCCTCATCCACGGCTCCGGCGACACCGGCGTTGGCCGCGCCGGGACCTGCCTCTCCAACGACGCCTCCCCCGAAGTTCAAGGAGCTGGCTTTGCGGTCGCGTTTCCGGACTCAGCGGCCGTGGTATTATAGGGGCTGGGATTGAGGTCGTTATACCTGAATGTAGTCATCGACCGTAGTACTACCATCGACGTTGTCGACTGGTTCGAGACCTATCCGTAAGAACATGCATTAACAGCACGCTGTCGTTTCCGAGGGTCATGGCGCCCAAGAGCTGATATAGACCCAAGTGTATAGCTCGAATCGTGTGAGATAACGAGCAACAAGTGTCATTGGCAACAACTGGAGCTGGGCGTGTACAGAAGCCGTGTCAAGCTACGAAGTACTCCTCCAGTCACGTAACATCATCGGCTTTGCATCTATCGTATCTAGTCTCCCAATGACGACACCATCGCCAATTCCCAGCCGCTACCACTGCGCCTTCCCTTTAGCCCTCAACTTGGAGCCGAATTTCCAGAGCAGTAGAGGTGCCGGTACGCCAATCATCAACGACAGGAAGCCCAGCAAGCTGTTGCCCCATCCATACCCGAGAGCTTGATACATGCCCGGCGCAAAGATTGGGAAGGCAAAAGCGGTGATACTACGCAAGAACTGGCTCGCGGCCGTGGCGGAGGATGTGTACTTGGGGAACGAATCGAGGACGTAGGCCTGCATGGCCTGCGTGCCCAGGATGATACCGGCGGCAAAGATGGCGACCCCAATGTCTGTGAGTACCCAATACGCCTTCAGCTCACCGGCCCATCCATACCAAAACAGTCCAATGGGGATGAGCAGGCTGCCGGGGATCATCATGGGCACGCGGTATTCCGGAGCGGTGACGCCGCTGGCCCTGTTTTTCAGGTGCGCCCAGATACGGTCAGTGACCCGTGCTCCAATCTGTGCGGCTATTGTGTTGCCAATGGCGAGGGCGATGTAGTTGAGGCCGGACTGCGAGACCGTCTGGCCGTAGCGTTGGGTCCACAGCTCGGCGAAGGTGGAGAACATGATGTAGTTGATGCCGAAGTTGTAAGCCATGAAGACGGACATGACTTGAAGCGTAGGCTGAGTGAGCAGGAGTCGCATCGGCCGCGTCAGGGTAATTCTGAGTTTTTGCCAAAGAGTCTGGGTTGAGCGCTCGTGTTGCGCATATTGATCATGTTCACCGGACTTGCGTACTGCCTTCGCTTTGCGGGCAAGGATGATGGCCGCATACGGTTCCTTGAACAGAAAGAATCCAGTGATGGTGATTAGACCACTGAAAATGGAAACAATCCAGAATAACCATCGCCAACCAATCTTCTCTGTTATCACCCCTCCAATGATGGGACCTATCGCAGTGCCGAGTAGTGGTATGAATGTTGATATTGCTAGGGAGTGCCCTCTCTGCTCGGGTCTCCAGCAGTCTGCGAGAACAGGATTTGTGACCTGTTAGTATTCAGTAACCGAGCACAAAGCGTAGAGGGATTCTACTGCCGTACCGCAAACTCCGCACTTGCTCCTATACCCGCCAAGAAGCGAGCAGCAATCATTGTAGCGTTGTTCTGAGCGAAGCCACAGACCGTGTTGAAGATGATATAGAACGTGCCAGACAACAACCAGACAGGCCGTCGGCCGTAGATCTCTGTGGATGGGGCAAGCAAGAGGGGACCGAATGCATATGCGAGTACGTAAATGGAGAGAGCTAGGTTTGCTGCCGCCATGTCTAGCCTAAGATCATTGCCGATGGTAGAGAGTGCTGGGGCCATCATCGTCCCTGACATGAGAGTTACGAGTCCGCTCATGGAGCACAATAACGTGACTGCCCATTTCTCGCGATTGGGCCAATTCAGTGGGTTGAGAGGATCATCTGGACCATCGAACGTTATCTAGTCCGGAATTTTAGCATTGCAATACTATAAGATATATACATCGAAGATTATCCATGCCTCTGCAGTTACGTCTGACTGCTCTTCTAGATCCTGCGGCCTGTCCAAGTCATCCTTTTCCTTCCAGTCTCCGTCTTTGTCTGAAACCCGCAAATCTCCAACTTTCTGGGGCTCTTGGTTGATTTTACCGGCCTGAAGCTCTGGAGCTACCTCTGGCGATGCCAGCGTCATAATGTCACCCGCTGTGCGCGGAGTCGAAGGGTTTCTAGGAAGTTTATGGATGTTCCCAACCATGTCCGAAACGGAAAGATCGACAAACAGTGCGGAGAGACTCAGCAGTCAAGATGTACTGTAATAGTGGTGACGTCGTGCGACATGTGGAGCTCGGCGGGTGCGAAGCTGCAGTCGGGAATACGACTGATTGTAGGCACTTTAACTATTCATCATTATGAGCCCCACAAACCAGACGTTAAAATGGCAGCATTAATCAATAAGCTAATCAAATGGTGGTGCTACAATAGAACATATAACTCATCTTAGCGCCTTGTGGGTACAGTGCTCACCCGTGCTCCGGATAAGGAAGGTGTTGTTTGTAGCTTTGTAATTCTGGTCGGGATCACCGTGTAAACTAAGGTAGTTGCAATACCGTTAGCGGTAGTATGTTCTACTGCTATATCACTTAGCCGTAATATGAATCTGGAGCTAAATTAGTTGGTGCTATTTACCACCGCTACTTGATTTCCTCACGACTACTCGTATGTGTCTCGGTCATTATGGCGAGTACATCTCCTCAACATTCAACACTAAGATGGGTTCGGTAGAGCGAAAACCATTACAATATAGTAAGCCATCAAGCTATCCCTCCTCCTGTTTGAGCGTAAGTTCTGCTGGGGCTATCGGCCCTTGACTCTGCAGGAAACTTCCTGTGGAAGTGTCGGACAATGACATGGCAGTTTGTCATGATCACAAGATGATGGTGAGACTAGAGGAGTGCCCCGGCAACTTTCATGCATCTGGGTTTCCAAGGATGCTCGAATGAAACTTCCCCTGGGAACAAGTGGTCATGTTTTATTTTGGAGATTATCAGATTTTGGTTGCGATGCTGCCCAGGCTCAGCACTCGTCTGCTTTTATTTCCCAACAGATCTTTGCGTGTAGTTCTTTTCCGAAACGCGAGAAAAAAAACACGAGTCTCACGTAGCAAGAAGCCATCACGACCGAATGCTTCCCATTATTGTTGTGCATAGCATATTCTCTTTCGGTCTCGCACTGGCCCGTTGACAAGGCAAGGTTAGAGGTGAGACTTAGTGGTGGCTTTCACAGTGTGAGAGAATTCGAGAATATGACATTGCATATCCTAGCATGCTTCGGTCCCTGTTTCTACACTCCAAGCTTGACTCTGTACCTTACTGCTACTACCGTCTTTCCGTAGAGGCGGCGTGCCATCTTCTGTCATGCCTTGTCATTCTGTCACCATGGTTGATTGTTGCCAGGACCTTTTCGTATCAAAAGTACACCTTCACCTAGAAAGAAGGAGGTCCACTTTCTTTAATTTCGGTCTTCAGACCATTGGCTGCAGAGTAGAGAACACGCTAGATCGCACCATTGCACCGTCGATCAGTCTTATCCCATTGACAAGGCATATCTTGGTCTGCTGAGCCTAAGGCAGAAAAATTGTATATAAAGAAGCTCAAGATCTTCGTTTCAACAGTATCCAGACTCAGAATACTTCAGTCCATCTCAAGCATCAACTTTCTTCATCTCCGCTCAGCATCATACAAGTCTTCACTCAACCTGAGACGACTCCTGCAACGCAACAATGCATCAGTCCACGCTCATCAGCCTCCTGCCGCTCCTTGCGGCCTTGAGCGTTGCGGCGCCAACGGCCAGGGGCGCTATCTCTCCGCTTGCTCGACGAGCTGATGCTGACTCAGCCTCTGTCTACACCGTGGACAAGGTTGGACGTCACTTCCCCGTGTCTCGATGACTGCTAACAGTCCAGCGTTCCGATGCCGATAGTGCCAGCGTCTATGTGGTAGACAAGGTGCGCCACACAAGCCTCTCCCCTCAGTGTCCTCGCTCATGAACATTACAGCCCTCCGATGCCGACACCGCCTCTGTTTACACGGTGGACAATTTATTAAATTTCTATTAATTTACTTTTAAATAGACTTTTAAATCTTTTTTTTAATACTCTAGAATACTATACAAGATAAAGATTACGATATATTTTATATAATAATTCTAATATCTAATAACGAGTAAAGGCCTATAAATTAAATTCATATTTTTTTTTTAATTAGGGCTATCGAGTAAGTAGATATTCGTATATATTCGAAAGTATCTGATATCTGATAATACCCGATTTAAAATCCGATAAGTCCGACGCAATATCAAAATATGTGCATTGTTTTTAATTTTACTATATATCTATCTGAATAAGACGTTATACTATATCGAGACTCTATAGTATAATAGAATATTATAAAAAATAGTCTACTTATTTTTGAAGATACGAAGAGAGATAGAAGTCTAGTTAAGAAAAAGGCTACTATATCTCTTACACTAGGCCTACTAATATTATTAACGCTTATTCTATCACAGTAATAATAGTAAGGTAAAGAAAGATCTACTTTATAATAGTGACGGGCCTTAGTAAACATCTGCAAATCTAAAAAGTGAATTTCCGTACGATTTCCGCCGGGTCCGTATTATAAGTACGATTTAGTCTATTTAGTAGACTTTATCTATATCTAACTCTTTTTATTAATTTAATAATTAAATATAGTAAACTTCGCGTTTAGTAAGTTAAGATAGTATTTATTTAGATTAATTAGATTTTAAAGCGATTATAAGCTATTAATTTAATAGTATATATCTAAAAATTCGAGGGACTATATATAAAATAGATTTTTTAGATTATTTAAGTTAGATAATATTATTAATAATAATAATATCTATTAAAAGTTTAATTCGACTAATTAAATATATATTAGAAAGATTTTTAAGATTATTCGAGTTAAATAGTATTATTAATTATAATAATATTTATAAAAATTCTAGATTAGCTAGTCTCGCTAATAATATTAATATTTATAGCGTATTTAAATTAGATAATATTATTAATTATAATAACGTCTCTAGAGTATTTAATTCGAATTAAATTTAATATCTCTAGATATCTAATAAAAGTTATTAATTTAAGATTTATTACAATATCTTATTATAATATTAATAATATTTATAATCTCTAAAATATAGATTTTTAAATAATTAGAATTTTAAGCGCTATAGCGATATTTAATTCTTTATTAATTTTTATTTAATTCGCCTAATAGATAAAGAGACTAACTCTCTCTATTTTATTTACTACGCTATATATTCTTTATATTTTTCCTTCTTATTTAATATAACTTTATTAATTTATAAATATTTATTCTCTTTATAAGTTATCTCTTTTTTTATTTACTATAATAAAGCTATAAATAATATATTAAAGTTTAATCTTTTTTATTTATTCTCTCTACTTATTAAGACGCGAAGTATTTATATTTTAAATTTAAAGAGATTTAAGTTTTAATTATTATTTATTAAATCGATTTCTTTTTATTTAATTATTTTATATATTAATTATTTCTTAATAATTTATAAGATTCTCTTATTATCTTTAAATAGATTTAAATCTAATCTCTTAAATAATTTAATATTAGCGAATCTTAATATAACTTCTCTTAAGACGCTTATAAAGTCTAATTTCTTAGTAATATTATTTAGCAAATTTTTATATAAATTATTTAATTTAGAGAATCTCTATATCTTTCTTATTAATTTAAAATATATCTTTAAAATATATTATCGTAATATATAATATATAATAAGTCTTTTCTATTATTTTATATCTCTTTAGAACTTTTTAATATACTTATATATTTCTAAAAAGTATTATAATTATATAAGTAGTAAAATAATAATAAAAAGCTTATCTTTAACTTTCTTATTATTTTATCTTTTAATATAAAAATATTTAGAATTATAATTCTTTAGATTATAATAAAAAGTAATTATTATAAGAATTATAATATTATTAAATAAGAATAATTAAAGATACTTACTTCTTTATCTAAATTTAAGAGATACTCTCTTATTATAGAAGAAAATTTTATATAATAATATAATTATTAATTAGAATAAAAAGTATTTTTTATTTTAAAGACTATTAGCTAAAAAAATTAATTAATTTAAATTTTATAAAATATATTATATTCTATCTATTTTATAGATCTTAATATATAAATTAAAGATCGACTAATAAGTCGCTAATTATCGTCTTTAGATCTTTAAGCGATAATATTATATAAATCTTAAAATAAGATTAAATAATATCTTAAATTTTCTTTATTAGAATTAAATAAAAATTATCTATATAGTTAAAAAGTTATATTCTTATTAGAAAGAGCTTAAAGTATTAATAATAATAATTAATTAAGAATATTAATATCTTTCTTATCTCGAAACTTATAAATTAATTATTAATACTTTATATAAATTAAGTATTCTTATAAAATTATTATCTCTAATCTCTTTATATTCTAATTATTATTTAATTAAATATATTAATATAATACTTTAATTAAAAATTTAACTTTTAAAAATTTAGATATTTAAGATTTTTATTAATTATAATTATTATAAATAAGATAACTCTTATTATTTTAAATATATTAAGATACTCTTTCTTAATATTATAATCGCGTTTTTTTAATTATATTAAATTATTCTAAAGCGCGATTTAATAATTATCTTTATTTAAATTATCTTATAAAATATAATCTATATATCTTTCTTTATTCTAATCTATTAATAATATATAATTTAATATTATTAGAGATATTAATAAAGCTTTAAATTTTTTTATTTTATTTAATAGATATATTAGCGAAAAGCTTAAACGAGCTATATATTAATAATACGACTTTAATATAATAATATCTAATAACTCTATTTAGCGTAATACTTTTTAATATTAAATTATTTATAATAATTTAATTATTATTCTATTATATTTAGAATATATATTTATTTTTATATTAAAGCTTTATATAAAGTATTCTAGCTTTATTATTATAAAGGCGATTTCTCTTAATAGATTATTTTTTATCTTAATTTAGTATATATTTATTAATCTAGATATTTAATTATATAATATATTCTTATTTTATCTTATTAATTCTAATTCTTTATCGCTAATAAGAATTATTTTAAATTCTATAATTTATATTAGCTAGTTTATATCGA